GTTACTTTATCTTCACAATAACTCAAACTACCAGGCAATCAATACTGCAAGGTTAAAGCAACATCCAAGTTTGGCATTGGACGGCTCAATCCAGCTCCTCCTTCCTGCTATCTCTGTGCTGGAAGACAAACAGAAGAGGATAGGAAAATATTTATCTGCTGTTAGGATTAGCTGGAGCAACACAGTGTTAGCTCTAGCAAGCTGCCACTGTTAGCTGGATATGGCCAAGTGACAGTCCCCAAACCAAGCAGGTACAGCCAGGGGATTCAGCCTTGCTGAAGGAGGATGGCTTCACTACATCATGGTGCCAGAGAAGCTGAAACACACTGCCCTGTTAGACCCCAGACACCTCTGGCAGAGAGCAGGCACTTGCAGTCACATCCCTGTTGTGTCTCTGCAGACAGACAAGACAACTGTCTCCAGCAAGGCTGGAGTCCATGCAGCCATTTACGAGGAATGCACCATGGAACACAGGCATGGTGTTCAACAAGTTCAACAAATAAAAACAATGCACTGCCTACAACAGGCAGCATCTCCAGCTCATTTGCCATGATAAGTAATTGACAATTCTGTATCTCCCAACCTGTAGTAGTGCAGATGTTTGGTCACTTCTAATAGAGCCTGAATATACAAACACAGGCATTAAAGCAGACTTTTGCATTTCCTGAAAACACAGTTAAGGATTTAGGAGAATGCACCATGGATGTAAAAGGAATAATTACCAGTCCTTATGTACCTGCAGCAGCAGAAGGCAGATTGCTATGAACAGGCAGATTCTTCCCCATCCTGCACTGTTGCTGTAGAAGGAGCAGAACAGACATTTGTCCTACACAGCACTGCAGATTTTAACAGGAGAGCAGAGGCAGCTGGGAGAAAGACAGTTCCAACTGGACCTTAACATAATGTCCTGTTAACAGGACATTAACAAACTTGTAAGTGACAGGCTAAACAGGCTGTGGGACCAGACTCCTCCTGTTGCTCGAGGGCTCCCACATGATGCTCAAACTCAGCTGGTGCTAACTAAATTTGCTCCACTGCCTGCCAGAGCTGTATCAACTTACTCCAGTAAAGGGTGAAGGTGCTCAGTTCTGGGACACCACTGATGGGCCATCAGCTGTGTAGAAATTTCATTCTAGGGAAAAACAAAGAAACAAAGGGGAAAGAAAAAACAAAACAAAAAACCCCAAACAAACGAAAAAACCCAACCAACAACAAAAACCCCAAAACAAACAAAACAAACAAACAAAACAAACAGAAAACAACGGGACGGGGGGCAGTGGGAAACTGTGAAAAAGGAAGGCCAGGAAGAAATCAATCTTAGGAAGAAATACCTCTGTTCTGAAACAGCCTAGAAAAGGAGAAGATGTAGAAACTCCCTTCACAGTGCATCAGCATCCTATCATAACACACATGAACTGCAGCACTCAGGATCATTTGTCCCAGCCATTCCAAACCTGGTTTGGTTACATATCATCTCCCCAGCCCAGGCTCTCCTAACAATGGAACAAAAATATTTTGCATTTTTCCAATCCTTTTCCTTTCCCTTTGGGGCCTAGTTCAAAGCCCTTTTATGTCATTCTGACAGCACTATATTATTTTAGGCAGATAAACCCAGCCCATTAAGAGATACACCCTGTGCAAGACATCTTGCTGGCACTGGAAAGTTGGCAGTGCAAAAGATTTGCAGCTCCCTGCCTGCAAGCGAGACCAGGGATCAAGTGACAAAAGCAAGGATGGTGTGGAACAAGGCAGACCTGCTGCTAGTCAGCACCAGGGGACATGAGTCCCTCTGCAGTTATGGTCAATGCTGCTAAACTTTTCTTCCCACCACACAAGCCTTTCATCCCTTGGACTTCACAAGGACATCCCACCTTCCAGTAGCTACTGTAAATCTGGCAATTACACTCCAAAAGCATCTTATTTCCACAGTGGGGTGAGACTCCAGAGGCTTGCCAGCATCTGTAAAACAAGTACCTGCCAGCTCATCAGCAAACACAAGGCCTGATCCTTTGGAGGACCAGAGATGGAGACCATGCATCCTTATTCCACAAGCAGGTACTCCTTGCTGAGGAAGAAGGAACAACTCATCACCCATCTTACAGCCTCCTGGCTGCAAATTATTCAGATAAAAACTCCCCAGAGTGTGTTAAAGAAACTTTCCTGTCTGACCACCCAGGAGCCATTCTGTCAGTCACACTCCCCCCATTCCAAGACTTTCACTGCTGGGACCAAAGTCTGGAGCAGATGGCTCCAGTGACCCCTTGGGTGGCCCTTTTGGCTCCCTGCACACCCCACACTCACAGTCAGACAGGGTTTCCTTACTGGCTCAGCCCTGGGTTTCCCACAGCAGTCTCAGATGTCTAGATCCTCTAAGTAATTTAATCGTGGTGCAGTGACACAAAAACAGCTTGACCTGGTGCCTCTGGGGAGGGACCCCTAACAAAAGCATTTCTGGGCGTTTATACTCTACAGTTTGTGCACCCAGACAGTCTGGGGTCTTCTTGCTGAGTCACCAGCTCCTGCTGTATCCCTGTGCCCTCTGCTGTCCATAGGGTCAGCACCAGGTCACAGCCCCTTTCCTGGCTCCTGACATTTCCCCCACCCAGGGCACAAACCGTAGCTCATACCGCAGCTGCACACCCAGCTATCAACACTGGGTGTATTCCTCAAGAAGTGCCAAAGATATTTAACTATTTTCACAGCACTGCATGATCCTCACACACCCTGCAACAATGATGTTCCAATGATGTTAGATTGGGCTTTAACCTTCAAGGAAAAGCTGTTCTCACAGGAATCTGTAGAATTAGGCCTCTGGTCAGGGATGTTGGCTCTACACACAGATTTTATTCTAGCTAAACACAACACAACATTTACTCACCTGGAAACACAGCTGCCCCACTCTGGGAAATTTCTCCCTCCTACTATTTCACAATTCTCAGGATGACAACAGTTACGCAAGAACAGCTGTATAGACAGATGAAATGCTTACAGCTTCTAAGCAAGACTTTCCCCAAATTTCCCTTATCAGACAGCTCCAAATCCTATGGCTCCCATGTTTCAAGGCACACCAGTCAGCCACCAGTCACTGTGCCTCCATCACACCTTTGCCCTGGCAGAGACCTACAAGAAAAAACATGACGCACAAGCGAGCAGGGGGCTGCTTCCACATGGACATGCTGCTGTCACCTTGGCTAGCCAGGTAGGTATTTCCCCCATCTTGCCCACTGATTTAAATCTTGGCAGGAAAAGGGGAGCAAATGGCCTTGACAGGCTGTCAGTGATTTCTACCTTTTAGTAACTTAATACAGCACACTATCCCTTCCTAAAACGGCAGCAGGAAGATGCTCACAGGCTCTGGCATCCTAGTAAGACATTAACAAGATTTCTGGGCACCAAACAGGACTGCAGACTTTCCTTCAAGAGCAGGGCTTCAGTTTACAACACAGATTTGATCCCTTTTCCATCTCAGCCATCCATCTGTGCCACAGATCGCCACCACCCCCAAAACATAATGCTCCTTACTATGACAGGCATTTGGTGAACAGATGAGGTGACAGGCATTTGGTGAACAAGGGCACAGCACCAGGAGAAAAACTGCACCTGTATGAACAACTACAAGTAACAGCACGCAGTTAAAATCCTACAGGCAAGACATTCAAAGGGGTAAACCCTCATTAAATCTTCGTGTTTATTTTCTGAGGAAGAGGTTAGAGGAACTCCTCCTATTAAACCTTGCCTACTCCTTTGTTTATAACAGCCTGCAAAGCAAAACAAAAGTAGAGGACAAGAAGACAACCACCGCCCGAGTCCCACGCGATACATCCTTATCAGTACCACTCTAGTTCAGCTGCCTTTTGCTTGGCACTGCCAAGAAGCGAGTTCTTGAGAAGTAAAGCCACAGTTACTTGCAGTGATCAAAATCACTGCAGATACCATCCCAAAGCACCAACAGCAGCACCACAAAGTCAGATCCTAACAGCAGCGAGACTCTCAGAGATTAACACACTATGGTAAAAATACCCACTATTGAACTGTAAACATCTAATAGCCAAAAGACATCAGGCCAAATAAATATATCTGGGATCCTGTCCTGACACCTGGCAAGGTATATAGCCTACAATCTGAGAAGCCTTGCAGGAAAGAGGCTGGGGCACTGGAAAAATCTGATTTCCACAACTTCACCCTCACCCAGCAGCTGCAGAGGGTGCAGCAAGAGGATGCTTGGGGTCCAATTTCCAGGGTGACCTTGAGGAAATCCCACAGTCTGTCCACATTTCCACTCTCCCCGTCCACTGCACGAAGAGCACAATAACCTTGACCTATCTCAAAGAGGCAGGGATCTGGCTTAGGAGAGTCTGGAAGGAGCTCAGAGGGGCTTAGATGCAGGATCTGCGCTGCGACCGGGGCGGTCAGGGAACCCTACGATTCGCCCCAGAATCAAAGCCCGGAGAAACTCGTTAATCGCTTTCAATATAAAAAGCTGCAGCTCCGGGGCACTGAAGGGCTCTCTGGAGCCGCACACGTGTCACCGCAATTTCCCCGGCGCGGGCAGGGCAGAGGAAGGCGCGCCGGGCTGCAGCCCCCGCGCCCGGCAAGGGCAAGCCCCGCTCCACGGCGAGCGGGGCACATCAGCCCCGGGCCCCCACGCAGGCACAGGGAGCCAGCCCGGGGAGGAGGGGAGGGGCTGGGAACACCTAAAACCCCCAGGGTGAGGAGGGGAAGTGGCAGCGGGCAAGGGGAGCCCGCAGCTCCGGGAGATGGGTGGGTACGTGGGGAGCCCGCAGCCCCCCGGGGCGAGGGGACGGCTCTCCGGGGCCCGGGGGGCAGGAAGGGCGGCCGGCACAGCCCGGAGATGAGGGGCTGGGGTGAGCGGCGGCGGGGCCGGTGCAGCAGGAGCCAGGCCGGCGTGCATGGCCGAGCTGCATCCCGGCGGCAGGAGGGGTGTCGGGCGCCCCGGCGGCGCCTCCGGAGGGCTTGGGAAGGGCCGTGCCCACACTTACCGGGCGGCGGCGGCGGCGGCGGTTCCCGCCGGGGCCGGGGACGGTGCGGCGCGGGGTGCGGAGCTCCTGCGCGGCGCGGCCCGGCCCGACTCAGCTCTGCCCCCTCCGGCCGCGCTCGGCGCAGGCACCGCTGCCGCCGCCGCCGCCGCCTGTCCCTCCCCGCCGGGGCGGCCGCCGCGTCCCCATGGCAACGCGGGCCGGGGCGCCCGGGCAGCGCCGCCGCCTCCCCCGGCCGGGCGCGGGGGCCGGGACTGCCCCGCCGTGCCCCGAGCAGCACCGGGCCGCGCCCACAGCCGTCCTGCGAGGCCGCTCACGGCAGGACACGGGGCGAGCGGCAGCGGGGGAGAAATAATAAGTCTCGTCTGTAGCCGAGGGAACGGCCCGAAACTGTGTCAGGGCAGGTTTACGTTGGGCATTAGAAAAAGGTTCCTCACCCAGAGGGTGGCTGGGCACTGAACAGGCTCCCCAGGGAAGCGGTCACAGCACCGAGCCTGACAGAGCACAAGAAGCACTTGGACAATGCTCTCAGGTACAGGGTGTGACTCCTGGGGATGTCCTGAGCATTCACAGGAGTTGGATTCCATGATGCTTGTGGGTCCTTTCCAACTCAGCATATTCTGTGATTCTGTAATTCTCTTCAGAATACCAGCCAGGCCCACTGTGCCCATTGGGTCACCATGCTGTGCTGCCCGCCACTCCTCAGGAAAGCCACCATACCACTGGCAGGCCTTGATTGTTGGGGTTAGCAGGCTCCACTGTGGACCTGGAGTTCTCAGGAGTATTATGGGACCTAAATCCTTGCTGGGACAAAACATCAACAGAGACCATTTCATCAGGCCTTGGAAATTAAGTATTTTAATGGTGAGGAGGACAGCAGCAGCCAAACAGATCTCTGTGCTTCTTGGGATGACCAAGTTCTTTGTGGTGAGGGCGGTGAGGCACTGGAACGGGTTCCCAGGGAAGCTGTGGATGCCGCATCCCCAGCAGTATTCAAGGCCAGGCTGGATGGGGCTCTGAGTAACCTGATCTAGTGGAAGGTGTCCACTAGAGGAGGATAGAGTGAGATGATCTTCAAGGTCTCTTCCAACCCAAACCATTTTGTGATTCTGTAACATCCACAGGTCTGCCACCACCAGGGAAAGAGGTGAAGATCTCCAGGGGAATTAATCTCTAAGAGCCTCCCTCGTTGCTCACATACACCAGGCCCTGTGAGTGTGGGATTACCAGCTCTGTACCAAGGGCCCATGGAGGCTGGCAGAGCATCAGTGCAGTTAACCTGTGCAAGGAATTGGAGGTGACTAGAAAAGAGTGCCTACAAGGATGCTCCCAGGAGCATGTAGGGCTAATGAGGACATGGTGTACACAGGAGAAGTGACAATTATATGGAGTCACATATGGATGAACAGCCCAGAAACCTCACAGTTCTTCACACACCCAAAAACAAAAGGAGCTTGTTATCACAGTCAGGGACCTGGAGCCCAAGGTGAGAAGAAGGTGTAAACCAGAGGGCAGTGAAGCATCAGAAGCCAATGGTAGTGAGTTGGATACAGGTGAAAAGGGGATCAGCTTTCCTCATGTGCTATTCAACCCAGGCTGAGCAAAGCATGAGTAGATACAGCATTGGAGGTGGAAAGCTCCCTCCAGAAGAGAGGTGCCTGACCAAGGGAGGAAACCTGTGTGCTGTGGCCATTTTGTGGGCATATATTGGATAAGCATCCAGCACAAGAGAAAAATGCAAGTGCAGTGGGCAGGGAGATGCCAGAATAGCCTATCCAACCTCACAATCCTATCTCTACCATGTCCTTGGAAAAACAGGCAGCAAGGCTGGGTTGCAGGCAGACTGCTGTGGTGGGCATTCCTGCAGGAATTTCCAGTTTAGGGAACAGTGTGGGGGAGCTGAGGTCTTCTTACTCTCCAGCTGCAAAATTGTTCCCACCCCTTTCCTTGGTGGTGGCATATCCCCACTCTGCCCTGATTTGTAAAGGCATCAGTGGGTTTCACTGTGCTGTATCTTCTCAGTTAAAAGCTGAACTGAACTCAGTGTGGCTCGCGGTATAGATGTTACTGTTTATCACAGTGTAGATGTGCTGGCAAGACATTACCATCCCCTGGCAAAGAAGAGGTTAACACTGGCCATCTTTGTGCTGCATCTCAGGAGGACTGCAATCACACATTTTATTTTTGGTTCTGCTGCAGGAGAACAACTGCTCTTTGTAACCTGCATGGCACAAAGGACCCATTTCTTCCGGCAGCATTTAAGAGAGGGCATAAAAAAAAGGAAGCAGAGGAAGAAAGTTCGTATTCAGCAAGTGCCAGGTTGTCAAGGTTTCCTCTGCTTTCAGGCATAATTTTTTTTCTCCTGACAGACACAAAAAAGATTTAAAACTGTTTGGTGCAAAACGGAGCTTCAAAAGCAGCACTGTCTGTGTGTGACAGAAGGTGAAGAGCACAGCTCAGGACCTCCTGTACAAGGCAACATTGTTGTCATCGTGGTGCACACAGGAGCATTAGACCAGGTCTGTGCTCTCCTTGTCACAAAGCTTGTCGTGTGTGAGTCTCAAAATCCTGCACTGCTTTCAGCCCACCTCCCAGAGGGCTGTGGGCTGGTTCAGCCCTACAAGGACATGGGTCAAGTTCAGTGTGCTGCAAAGAAAGAGGCTGTCACGAGGTCTCGCTCTTCAGTTTCCTTCCCCATTTGTATTGTTTTCTGTTTTAATAAATTATGGACTGCCAGTGAAATCCCCAAGTGCCTGCTGAGTGTGGTTATTAAACCAACACTTAAAAAAGTAAAATTGAGCAAGCTTGGTCACTGCTCCCTTGGCCTGGACATGATTCTCAGAGCGCTGGTAGACAATTCAACTGATAAATATTGAAGAGGCAGTAATGTAATTAGCACCAGTCAACATCGTTTTCTGGAAAAATCAATCCCAGCCAAGCCCGGTCTTGTTCTCCATTGAGACCACAGGATGTGTTGCCAAAGGTAACAGCACAGAGGTGTTAGGGGAGGCATCCAGGGTATAGTCAAACAGAATGAGTAAAATGAACAGATTCACAGCTGGCCATCGGCTGGGATGGCAGAAAGCACGCAGAAACCACTGGTCTGGTTTCATTTTCTGTGCAAGTACTTGATATTACAGAAGTGAGAGAAGATGTGGATGCAGCTGGAGAGTGCAAGAAGGGGACAGGTTAACCCCAAACCCAGCTCTGTTGTTCCCAAAAGCTCAAGCTGCAAGACCACACTGGTGCGCCCAATGTATATGTGTGGTCTGTCTATCCTCTCTGCCCATTGCTCCTTGAAAAGAGGCTGCAGACATCTTCCTTTTAAAGTGACTTTTAAAGCAGCTGGGTTGACCCTGACATTCTAATGAGAATGTCATGAGCTGGCTTAAACAATGGCCCGGCTCCTGCAACACGTCCTGCAGGGCTGGCAGCCCCCAGTAAGCACCAGCACCTCACAGTGCCCGGTACCCGTGGGACTCCAGCCTCAGACTGCCTGACACCCAGCAGCCCTGTTCCTTGCCTGGCCACAGCAGGTGCCACAGGCAGCCCTGTTCTGTGCCTGGCCACAGCAGGTGCCACAGGCAGCCCCGTTCCTGGCCTGGCCACAGCATGTGCCACAGGCAGCCCCATTTCATGCCACAGGCAGCCCTGTTCCCTGCCTGGCCACAGCAGGTGCCACAGCAGCAGCGCCTCAGCTCCTTTGGCAGCCAGCACAGGCTCCCACGCTCAGCACAGACAACACAAGGCAAAGCAATCTCATGCCCTCCATGCTTATCTCCTGGATAAAACAGTGAGGCACTTTTGTTTATTGAGTGCCGATGAATGGCGCTGTCTTGGCTGTGAGATTGGCCTGCAGATCCCACTCTGGGCACAGCTGCTGGCAGGGAGCCACCTATTGCCCTGGGAGCCTTTCAGCAGGGCGTTCCTCCTCCACCCAGGGACAAAACGACCAACAGCTTCCCACCATATGCATCTGTCCCCATGCAGAGGTGGTGTCAGTTTTATGGGGCACTGATCACTCTTTTCCCCTGCAAGTATGGCCCAGGTGAGTGCCAAGGAATGCAGTTTGCTCCAGAATTTTTCAGTATTCCTCACCCTCCACAGCTTGTTTTTTCATCTCCCAGCAGCTGACAAACAACTGTGAGGAATCTGCATTGGCAGTAACCTGCATGGCTGTTTCTTGTGGGGCAGGAAGCTGAGATGGCTCCGTGCTGCCAGGATGAAGTGGATGCTGAGGACACTGTCACCCTGCCATGGTGAAACAGCTGGACCTCAGGGAGAGTCACAGATCCCGGGCTTGCTGCCTCACCAAGAGCTGCAGCCAGCTCCTCCAGGGCCATGTTATTTTAGGACCCCAAAAAGCTGTTGGATCAATTTGTGACTGCTTCTGCCTTGCAGCCATCATTCGTGCACAGCAGTTGTCACAAAATAGCCTGTTTAAGCAGCAGGATTTTCTTTACTCTGCCCAGACTGCAAAGAAATCATCTCTTGTAAGGGACTTTTGAGGGGGAGACACCATGTGTTCTTGCTCCTTTCAATGCATCAGGATGAAAGCCTCACCAAAGCCTCATCATCTGTTGTGGGGATTTTTGAGGGGGAGGCACTGTATTTTCTTGCTCCTTTCAATGCACTGGGATGAAAGCTTCACCAGGACTGTCATTCAGCCTGATGCTCCTGCAACACTTGAGGGCTGTGCAGACACCAGGAGACAGAAACTTGCAATGTTGAGAGGGAGCAGCTACAATCAATATCACAAGCCATGCTTGCTCTTAGCTCTGGCCTTGGGGAGATGCTAAGAATCACAATGATTTCCATTATTCTCCAACCTGGAGGGAAAAAACCCAAAAACATTTGTCCTGAACAATTTCTGCTTTCAGAGGAAATAAAATCTTCCGAGGATGTGGCTGAAGAAGCAGCAAGGTGAAGATTCCTACCTAAGCTCATGTCCTCCCCCAGCTATCTTGTTACTACCTCCCTCATCCAGCTTTCCTGTCCTACTTCTCAGTGTAATCCAAAGCTTCTCTCCATCAGCCCAACAGAGCAGAATTAGAAGCCTAACCAGCCAGGCTCATCAGCCAGGTCTCTTCTTCACACAA